AGGAGATGTTGGTTTCACAGTAACTTTTGCAAATCAGTCTACTTAATTAAATTTCTAAACATAGACTGGGTGGAATTCAATCTGAGATTAAGTCATCTACATTTAGGGGGTTGATTCTATTGCCTAAACACAGATGTCTATGCCATTTCAAACACCAGTCATATCCTGTCTAGCCTCTAATGTGTGCTTTAAAAGGGCATAAATCTCCCATAGGTCCTGTGTCATATCTGTCAGCCATGTGCAGATGTCTTGGATACTCTAGGGCTTCTGAAATTGCAGTAGAAACCTATGTTTAGACCACTGAAATGAGCCTTACGGCAGAACACTAAACTTTGGATGTTTTTAGTAGCTTCCCAAGTGAGATTCAGTTATCTAAACAACGGCACCCAGTGCCATATGAAATGTCTTAGGATATTCAAAACCTCTGCAGAGAGCTGACAGATATGATACAGGACCTACAAGAGCTCTCCATATTTCAGAATGGCACCTAGAGACTAACTAGAACACACTGCAATGCCACTGAATCCCATTCCATTGACTATAACGAAGTTTTAGAAATCTATCTCCCATTTAGAAACCTATGCAGAGGCAACTAAATTTTGTGAATCCAAATTAAAACTGAATCCTTCCCCTTTTTCTCTACAGTACTTGTATTAAATACCTCAAATACTCAATTCTTCATGGTATTTCTGTTCTGTAAATGCTAAAAATATGTGTAGCCTGAACTTTTGAAATGTTTACACCATCTCACATCCACAGAAAAGAGAAAATACCCTAAACCAATGCATATGCTCATAAACCTGCTGAATCTAATCTTTCTTTGTGTATGTATTAAAGAGTTCATACTGCTGTACAGCGTACCAAGATGTTAGTATGTACCTGTGTTCTTATTCAGAAAATCTCTCAGTAATATTCTACATTTTTTTGGAGCCTGTATATTTTGAGCTTCTTCAGCGGCACTCTGAAGTTTCTTCCTTCTGGCCAATCCATGATCAGTCCCAGGATTCCTGGGCAGCTGGGGCTGCCCATTTGACCCCATTACATGATCAGCATGACTGCACGTAGCATCAGTTGCATGATGCACAGAGGGGACCCTCCCTTTAAACATCCAGCCCAGCAAGGGCAATCAAGGTGCTAAGAGGAGCTGTGCTTCAGTACCAGCTAATTCTGAAGTGGCTCAAACCCCTTCATATTCTGCTAATACTTCTTTTTCTGTTGGAATGTAGTCGGCCTCAGATCCTCTACATCCCCATCTCCCAAACCCTAGAGGTCAACATCGACTCTCTTCAGGTGCTTTCTGCCAGAGGCTCCAGGTTGGGCCATGGTCCCTGACTGCAGTGCACAGCACATTTCTTGCATCTTCTTCTGTCCAGGCTGACCCAAGTGTTACTGCACAAACATCCTCCCAGTTAATTTTTTCAAAGACTTGCTGCTGCTCAGGGCCCCGTTCAAAACCAATCTCCTTCCAGGTGACTTGATAGAGAGGGCTTACAATGAAACCTTAATCTGGAATATGCACTCTCCAAAAACCCACAAAGCCTAAGAAACCTTGTGTTTCTTTTTTGTTAGTTGGTGGAGACATAGCTGTTATTTTATTGATTGCATCCATTGGGCTATGATGACACCCATCTTGCCATTTTACTCGTAAAAACTGGACCTCCTGTGCAGGAGCTTTGACCTTTGTTTTATGACAAAACCAGCTTTTAGAAGAACCTTTATTATTGTTTTCCTTTTCTAAAACATTTTGTATGTTATGTTACCTCATACAATGATGTCATCAACGTAGTGCAGGTGTTCCAGAGCTTCACCCTGTTCCAGTGTAGTCTGGATCAATCCATGGCAAACGGTAGGGCTGTGTTTCCACCTCTGGGTTCAGTCGATTTCAGGTGTACTGGACACTTCTGCAAGTGCAAGCAAACCGTGTCCTGCAGTCTGCTGCCAAAAGGATTGAGCGAAATGCATTAGCAATACCATGTGGTACATGCTACTTAGCTGCCTTTGACTCCAGTTTGTACTGGAGTTCTAGCATGTCTGCTATGGTAGAACTCAGTGGTGGCATGTCTTCCTGCAGGCCATGATAGTTCACTGTTAGCCTCCACTCTCTATCAAACTTTCACACTAGTCATTATGGGCCTGTTAAAGGGTGAGTAAGTCTTGCTAATCCCTCATTGGCTGTCCAGTTGCCAAACCAGCTTATGAATTGGAACCCAGGAGTCTCAGGTCATGCGATATTTCCACCTGTATACTGTCATGGTAGTTATTGGCTCCTGCTATTCCTCAGTTCATAGCAATCACACATGTGGCCAGCCCAAGCTCACAGCACTGTCTATGACTTTTGTCAGCTTCTCTCTCCCTTATTTGTTTCAGACAGACACTTCGCAAATCCTCCCCATAGTTTTTCATGTTTGGACCAGGTAGCTAAACCTCAGGCTAGGGCCTATGGAGTTGCACACTGTAACATCATATATAAAAACAGAGTCCAACACCGAGGGGTCAAGTAGTTATCTCATTACCTTTTATGCTAGGTAATAACATGTTCGGTCTCATTGTCTTCAGTGAGAAAAAATCATTATTTACAAATACAAATAAAAGCCCTGTTTTGATATCATTTTTATGCATATGCAACTTTTAGAGGGTCTTACTTTGATCTATTTATCCTCTGTCAATGTGACAGTAACCTACTTATCAAAAATAGATTGAAATTTGAGCCAGACATAATGAGTATGGTCTAGTTTGCCAGCTTCAACATTTGAAACACCTGGAACATATAGGACTTGTCCACAAAGCTAGGGAATATGACACAGGACCTGTGGGAGAGCTCCACACTTTGGAGTCACTGTAGTTACTCTAAATTCAGTAATGTAATTTAGTTTGAAAAGATAACTACATTTACGCATGTATTACAGAGGTCCAAATGTGAATGGGGTATTCAAAAGCTCCAATTATAAACAAAGGCTAAGACTCTCTCAAGTCAGTTCCTGTACCTCAAGGCATTGACTGGAGGAATTAAGTCCCTCCTATAGTCAGTAAAAATCAGGTTTGAGACCACCTGAATTCATACAGGTCTATGATACTTGGAGAGATGCATCCCATGGTCTTGAGAGAATTGGCTGCTGTAGTTGCCAAGCCACTCTCCATCATATTTGAAAAATCATGGCAATGTTTACAAGTTAGCCTTAACTGTTGTGAAATACGTCTCTGTCTCAGGCCATGGTAATCAATAATGTGCCTCAAACTGCAGGACCCGCTTGTTGCTACCATAGCTGGAAGTAGTTCATGTCCATTTAGGTTTGTGAAGCACTTAAGACAATAAAGAGCAGCCCTTCCCACTTCAGCCAGGAAGTCTCCAGAGAAGCCAGAAATACATGTGGCTGCTTTTTGGTGGATGCTTTCATTTCTCTGCAGTGCCAAGAAATCAAGAGAACTTCTGAAATCTCAGTGTCACACGGATAGTCAGCCACCACCCTATAAAGTAGCTTGTGTGCAAAGAACGGAGCTTTACTCTCACTAGTGTCATACAACAGGATAGGCTGTTTTTTTCACTGTGAGTAACAACCCTTGACCACACAGCTGCAAAAGCTGTGGTTGTATTTAAACCATTCATTCTCTATATACACCTACATCAAATTATTGTAGGAGTTACCAAATGTTACCAAATGTAGCCTCATCTTCTTAAACAGCATCTGTGAAATGTGAACAGGTCTTGGTCCTGACCCTGATGTTGCCTTCCTCTTGTAGCATAAAGTGGTGAGGCTTTGCTTTGAAGCACAGTATATTCTAAGGGATTGATGGGAAGGAGGAGTTGAAAAAAACAGGTGAAACAGTGTTCAGAAACTCTTGTGGCATGCCAGTGGCTGATGCTAGGATAATATATCTCCCCTATCTCCTTTTTCAGCTATCCTATATGTCCTTCTTCAGACACATATCTTTGCGAATATGCACTGTGTATCTGCAGTCCTTGAAACTCTTTCCAAGCCCTAGGCATAGAGGGCTTACAGAGAGTATAGCTCGCTCCTTCCTTCCTTCTTTCTTTCCATTCTTCCTTCCTTCTTTCCTTTTTTTCCTTCAACGAAATGTCAAAACAAGCTCACACAACTGCTTGGTTGTTGACTTTTAGCTTCTGCTTATTCTGCTTCAGGCATTCAGACTGAAAGAGACAGTCGGGCTAGCCTGAGCAGGCAGAAGGACTGCTTTGTTCTCTCTGCTGACCATGTAAAGCATCCCAGGAAGAATGGGAAGTGAGCAGAACATGTGGGCAGCCCCACTGGGGTGCACTATGTGGGTTTGCTCTGCTTCCTGGAGTGTCCTCCTGTTTTCAAGACTGGGGCTCTGCAGAGAGCTGCTCACTCAAGAAGGCAGCTACTCAGCAGCTGTCTTTTTTGCAGCCAGCAAAGGGAAACCCCTCTCTAGTTTTCCAGGAGAGTGCCAACCACCACCTTCAAACTGGGCATTAAAGGAAGAAGAAGCAAATTGTCATTAAAAAGTTGGAGTCCAGAAAAAAAAGATAAAGATGACGTTTTCTGGAAACTCTGTCTCTGGACTCTGTCACCAAGGTTCATCCTCTTTCTCACTGTCCTATAGCAAGAGAGTGCCTTTCCACTTGGACCACTGCTTTGGCTGGAGGAAACATGTCCTTCTCACCCTCATGGCAGTGGCATCAGGAGACCTGCAGAAAGAGGGTGAGGCCAACTGTGGATAGCACCAGCACAGGCACAAAGCATCCAGGGAAACATCCACACATACTCGTGACCAAAACCATCTTGGCAAAGCTGTGGAAAGCTATTTGACAGAAAAGGCCCTGGGGGTCCTAGTCAACACCAAGCTGAACAGCAGCCAGCAAGGTGCCTTTGCCACAAAGGTGCCGAGTGGTACCCTGGGCTGCACTAGGCAAAGCATTGCCAGCAGCTGGAGGGAAGTGACCCTTCCCCTCTGTTCAGTGTTGTGCCCAGGTCTGGGATCCCCAGTAAGAAACTGCCATGGACATCAGTTTGGAGAAGACCAGCAGGATGACTCTTCTCTCTTCCTCTCTCAGGTGGGCACTGCTGCACTAGGACTGCTGCTGCCCTTTCTGCAGGGCATGCCCATCCCCATCACTCCATGACAACTGAGCCCGTGGGGACCCCAGCTTCCCAGATGGCATTTCTCCCTTGTGCTCAGCAGTGGGGAGACACTGCTGAGAGAGTCCAGGAGTGTTTGCCTGGTGGTTTTCATCCAGGGTTTTTTGCTTTGGTTTTCTTGGTAGCAGGCAGGACCTGGAGGAGGAGGAAGAGAGGGCTGCCCTGGCCCTTAGCACAGCAAGGGAACTCAGCTGCTGCAGAGGCACCCAGGCAGCCAGGCTCTGGTGGCAAGGGGACTCTTTTTGGGCCGGTCCCTGGCAGCTCTCTGCAACCAGGAGAGCACACTGCCCCAGCTCATGAAGGTGAGTAAGCCTGGCCAGGGTGTCCCAATCACTCTGACTTCTCCTGAGAGCTGCTGTCCTCAGCAGAGGGACCTTAGGTGGGGCTTGGGGACAAAGCCAACTCCCCTCATCTCTTACCTGCAGCTACCCCTCCACCCTGCCCCAGTGAAAGCAGAGCCATCCATACTTGCTCCTGTCTCTGAGGCAGGTTCACCTGCCCCAGGGCCTGTCTTCAGCCAAGCAAATGTCCTCCCATATCCCCTGCATGATCTGTTGGCTCTCCAGGAAAAGCAAGGACCCTCCACGGAGGGAATATTCCAGCGTGGGGCTGGCAAACATGCTGCCTGGGAGCTGAGTGAAGCCCTTGACAGTGGAACAGAGGTCCACATGCAAAACCAGCCTGCATACCTCCTGGCAGTCATCTTGAAGGTGAGTTCTGTTGACCTGGAGCCCGGCAGCTCCCAATTTTCTCAGTGTTGATGGATACCTGTGAAAGCAGAGAGCTGAAACCTAGCTGCCTGCTCATAAGACAGAGTGTCAGGGATGTTGCCTGTGCTCCCAACAGGAGTGTTCAAAGTCTCACCTGTAGCCCTTGGCATTGCAGGACTTCCTCCAAAACATCCCACTCAAGCTCCTTGATGTAGAGCTCTACGACCAGCAGGCAGGAGAAGCTGACAGAACTGTGATAGTAAGTGTGGTGAGCAGCCTGCCTGCCCTGCAGGGACTGGCAGAGGCCAGGCACTTGTAGGGGCAAAGCGATGACCTCCTTGAAAAAGCTGTATTTCCTGCCAGCCACCTCTTGCTGCTGTGGGGTTGGATTTTGGGGAAAGTGGCACAGAAAAGCATTTCTTCCCTTGGACTACATTGGAAGTTTCTCCATGAAAGAAGTCTTACTAGAAGGGCAGGGAGGGAGGTGGTAGTATCTCAGCGAAGGCAGTCCATCTGCTACAGACCCTGCATGGCCAGGGAGCCTTCCATAAGGTGGGGTTGGGTGAGCTCAGTCTGGGTGATGAGTGTTGACAAGGTCTACTTTATTAACATTGTGTTCCCGTTCCCTCAGGGTGGCCAACAAGTTCCCAGCCACACACCTCCTCCTCCTGAAGCACTTGCTCTTCCTGCTCTACAACATCAGCAAAAATGCTGAAATGAACAGGATGACTGCCAGCAACCCATCTATTTGTGTGGGACCAAATATACTGAGCAAGATGGAGGAGAGCATGCTCCCCTGGAAGTGCTGGTGCAGGCGATAGGAAAGCTACACTGTATTTACCAGCTGGCTATAGCCTTCAGGACCCACTCAAGCTTTGTGGCTAAGAGGTACTTGTCTGCCTTCATTCCTGAATAAACAGTTGTGGGGTAGCTGTCAGGATAAGAAGCCCCACAGCTGCAGATTTCTGTACAAAAATGAGGGTGTGGAATAAGGAAGGATATTCATTCTGTTTTCAACCACCTGAGTTGAACCTAGTGGTTTGATGTGAGCAGGTGATGGGCCTAGTGTAGTTCCTCACTGACGACAACAGGGAACTCCTTGGAGAGGAGGTGGCTGTGCTCTCCAGTGCACCAGCCAGGAGTTACCAGCACCGCTAGTTGAAGGGGTATCATGTGTTGAGAAGGGGCCAAAGCCACACCATAGCCACTTCCAGTAGGAGTTCTCTCGTCTGTGCTAGGAACAATGACTTTTGCATTACACTTCTCAAAGAAAGGCGGACAAAATATTTGCCTTTATAGTCTTATCAGCGCTTTCTGACTCTGTCGTAGTAGGTTCCCATTTAATTCTAACATTTGGATTTCCTGGATGAGCTCTGAGTCCTGGGCTACCAGCAGCACAATGCAGCCCTGGCATCTAGGCAAGGCAAGGAGAGGAGAAGCGCTTGTGCCCTGCTGCTCTGGCCAGTAGATATCATTCACACCACATTAAGACAGAGCAATAAAGGACAATGCTGGGCACCATCCCACTGGTCACTAGGGCAGAGTGCTGTCCCAGCTGCCACCACTGCTGCCACTTTGGGGAGGCCCTGCACCACTCTCAAACTCGTATTACCAAAGCAGTAATTGGGGTGAAGCACCGTTCCCATTTGTGGAGCTGAATGTGATGATAAATACAAAAAAGAGCTTCCTATCATAATTTGCCTTCAGATAAACTTCTACTAATCTAGGTCATACCACTTGATGGCCAGAATCTGAATAGTTTAAGACCCCTTTGGAGCCATTCTATGATCCCTTATTGCTATGTCTTTTAAAAACATTTTTTTTTTGTATACAGTTTATAGTTTTTTGTATATACTTTAAAACATCATCTGCTAATGTAGAGTCTTAGCTCCCTTCCCTCCCCTTAAGCCAATTAGATACAATGCTAGAAGGTCTGGTTTCATGGTCTTGCAATGTAAAAAGTCATCATTTCACATTTCTTGGAGTACACTTCTAGCAGTTTCACTTTATTTCATAAGGCCAGTCTTAGAGTGACTTTTCATCTCTAGTAGTAGAAAGAAGAAAGAATGACAAAAGTCATATCCCACTCCCTTGCCACCTGCATCCTGCAATCTGCAACACACAAAGAAAATATACCAAGAGAGTCCTGGACCATAGCTGTACGAGAGAATGAAACGTTTGTATTCTGGTTTGCTGTCTCCTTTACTCGACAGACAGCTTACCCAGAATATTACCTTTGTCCTCCTACTAAAATGAAGTGAACAGTCGACTTCCCTAGGAGCAAAGACTTCTGGGAGTCTTTCTGAGAACTTTCAGCTTGTGCACAGACAATACACATTTTTAGGCATTCTGGGCATTTTACATCATAGTCACAGCTGAAAGCCACTTTCAGCAAAGACTTTGAGGGCTTTTCTACTCACACCTCCTTGACATCAACCATGAATGCCATCATGTTTAGTCTTCCACAATCTGTAGGCTTTAGATCTCAGAACCCAGACCTCAGGGCCACGTTTAGGTCTGCCACAAGGGAGGTTGCCTTGCAGAGGGAGCAGAAATGTAAAATCCTGTCACACGTCAGACTCCTCAAATGGACTGCTGAAGGGCTGAGTTGTGGTAGAGGCCTATTAGACAGGCTGCCCCAGTGGCACACGACCCGCTGGACAATCCCCCCCGGAATACCTTCTGATAAAGCCTGATATTTGGTGACAGAATCACTCTGTATGAAAATTCTGGTTTAGAATGAAGTAAAGTGTTCTCTGAAAGTGCTTTACTTTAAATTAACTAGAAGAAAAGAGCTGTGGGTGATATGCTCAGCTGCAGAGATCTATGCTGCAGAAGTTAAAGTTAGGAGAGATGAATCCTATATAATGCTGCTGTTCAGCTGGGTGCAGGTTCTGGAAAAATAAACTGTGCTCAGATCTGCTAAATCTCACAAGATTTTGTTCGTTCTTTGTGAAAGTTTTACTTCTCTGTAAATGCTCCATATAAATTCTTTGAAATATTTAGACTTTGCTCACATATCACAAACATTTTGTGTAAAGAAATATACTTCTAGTAAAGTGATATTCTATTTTACTGCTTTCTGACACACCACGATGAATATCCTCAAGAGAGTACAAATATTCTTCTGTGCACTTGTAATACCTGTTTCCAAGCTATTAGCTGCACCTCACAATATGCAAGAACAGCTAGTCCATAGAAATTAATGATTTTGTATTCATGGGATTACCAAATGGAAATGACACCATCTATTTCTTCATTTGCAGATATATCAACATTTGAGAATGTTTTTGTTTTTAAGAAGGAAAATAAAGACAATTGGAAACATAGATCTCTCAAATTCATAAACTTAATTATATTTTCTCTGGAAATGGTTTTCCTTGGCAATCAGGGCTAGATTTAGTCTCAATCTTAGGGAGGGGGAGTTTGTAGGTTTTATTTAAAACAATTTCACAGGGAATAAAATGTTTCATCCTATATGTTTGGTGGGACATGCTGTTTCCCTGGCAATAAAACTCAAACAAGGTTAATCCTGCCTCCTGGTAAGGTTACTTTGATATCCTTCACCGGGAGCTGTATAACATGTATTAACATGTACCCTAGGTTACTTTGGCAATGTAAGGAGTTTTAATGTAAATGACAACCACCTCTGTGGAAAAGTAGTATAATCTGAACCTGAGTTCAGGTCAGTCAAGTCTCTAAGTGACCTGGATTCTGTATGTTCTGTTGTAATAATTTAACCCCAGAAAGCAATGAAGCACCACACAGCTGCTCTATTACACTCCACTAGTAGGATAGAGGAGAGAATTGGAAGGGTAAAAGTGAGAAATGTCATGGGTTGAGACAAAGACATTTTAATAATTAAAAAAAAAATAAAGAGGAAAAGCAACAAAACAAAGACAGATAAGTGGTGCAAAAGAACCTAGCTGCTCACCACCATCTGACCAATGCCCAGACAGTCCCTGAGCAACGTCAGCCACGGCCAACCTCTATCTGCCTCCCAGTTTTATTGTTGAGTGTGCTTTACTGGGCACCAAAGCAGGACTGTGTCACGTCACTGTTCCTCTTGCACTGCTTCTTGTGAGCACATACTTCATGGTGGTGACTGCTACAGTACTTCCTATAACATGCAATATAAATCATGGCTTACAACAATTTAAGTTTGGGAAGAGTACAGGGATGCTGCCCAATTGTGTAGGGGTCAGAAAGACCAAGGCATGGCTGGAGCTGTTCTTGGCAAGGGATGCAAAGAATAACAAGAAGGGCTTCTACAGGTATTTCAGCCAGAAAAGAGAGGTCAAAGAAAACCTACCCCCCTTGAGGAGCAAGACTGGCAAAATGGTAATAACGGATGAGGAGAGGAGAAGTCTGCAGTATTCAACAACTTCTTTGCCTCTCTCTTCACTGGCAGTGTCTCTTCCCACGCCTCTTGAGGGGATGAAGGATGGACTGCAAGATGGGGACTGGAGGGCAAAGTCCCACCCACTGTAAAAGAAGATCAAGTTCAAGACCACCTAAGGAACCTGAACATGCACAAGTCTATGGGACCTGACAAGATGCATCCCAGAGTCCTGAGGGAACAAGCTGATGTAGTTGCCAAGCCACTCTCCATGATATTTGAAAAGTCATGGCTGTCAGGTGAAGTCCCTGGAGACTGGGAAAAGGGAAATATTGCACTCATTTTTTAAAAGGGTAGCAAGGAGGACCCTGGGAACTACCAACTCATCAGCCTCATCTCTGTGCCTGGGAAGATCATGGAACAGATCCTCCTAGAAGCTATGCTAAGGTACATGGAGGACAGGGAGGTGATATGAGACAGCCAGCATGGATTCACCAAAGGCAAGTCCTACCTGACCATCCTAGTGGCCTTCTAGGATATAGTGACCACATCAGTGGACAAGGGAAAAGCTATGGATGTTGTATATCTGGACAGCTGTAAGGCTTTTGACATGGTCTCCCACAACAGCATTCTCTCTAATATGGGTTTCATGGGTGGACTCTTGGGTGGGTGAGGAGTTGGTTGGATAGTCACACCCAGAGGGTAGTGGTTAATGGCTCAATGTCCAGATGGAGATCATTGATGAGTGGTGTCCCTCAGGGGTATGTATTAGGACCAGTACTCTTTAATATCTTCATCAATGACATAGAGAGTGGGATCAAGTTCAACCCTCAGCAAGTTTGCAAACACCACCAAGCTGGGTGGTGTGGTTGACACACCTGAGGGATGGGATGCCATCCAGAGGGACCTGGATAAGCTCGAGGAATGGACTCGTGTGAACCTCATGAGGTTCAACAAGGCCAAGTGCAGGTCCTGCACCTGGGTTGGGGCAACCCTCACTACCAATACAGGCCTGGGGATGAAGGTATTAAGAGCAGCCCTGCTGAGAACGACTTGGGAGTACTGGAGGATGAAAAGCTGGACATGAGCTGACCATGTGTACTTGCAGTCCAGAGGGCCAACCATCTCCTGGGCTACATCAAAAGAAGCATGGCCAAGCAAGTCAAGGGAGGTGATTCTGCCCCTCTACTCCTCTCTGGTGAGACCCCAAATGGGGTATTGCATCCAGCTCTGGAGCCCTCGGCACAGGACAGACATGGACCTGTTGGAGTGTGTCTAGAGGAAGACCACAAAAATGATCCGAAGAATGGAACACCTCTCCTATGAGGAAAGGCTGAGAGAGTTGCAGTTTTTCAACTTGGAGAAGAGAAGGCTCCAGGAAGACCTTATTGCAGCCTTCCAGTACTTAAGGGGGCCTATAGGAAAGATGGGGACAGCTGAGAGACAGCTAACACTGAGCTGTTATTACTTAGCTGCAGGGAA